CACACAGACTGTGAGTCCTGAAAGAGTGCGCAGAAGGAACAATGTCCTCACTGCTAATACTACCTGCGAACCCGAGAAAGCAGATAAAATGCAATGAAGGATGAATTGCATTAACATTTGAATAGACCGTGACATTACCGAAGAGATAATAGCATCGCAATGTTGACTCGTTAAGAAAAGCTGATCAGATATACAGAGATTATGAACAGCAAAAATCGAAATTCCTGTGAAGCATTTGGAACACTAACATGCCACGAAAAAGATGTAGACACCCGCAATGACGTGCATCAAAAATATCAGTAAATAGAAAGCAGAACAACAGAGTCAGAGCAAACGACCAAATAAGTTTCGAAGGATGCCGGAGGAAGTGGCATCAACAAGCAGGCGCAAATCAGCCGACTATATTACCGGTAGTATGTTTCAACGTGCTTAACTGTGTCGGCTAACTGATTACAAGAGACGTAAGTCATTGAGATGATCGCGTCTCGTGATGCCAATAACGGGAACCTGACCACAAAAGCGGATCAACCAATTCCCTCATAACTGTCGATGTTGGAGAGGGATGTACTGTCTGGGAGACTGTCATGGAAAGAACGCATGGTAGAGGCTGTGGTCCAGTAGAGCAAATCGAATGTGACAGCTGTGAGCCATGAAACTTAGGGGTAAGCAGATTTTAACGAGGAGGCAGGTAAGAAAACTAGACAATTTACTTGAGTTAGATCGGCGACAGAAGTCTAAGCATAACTTTAAGGAAAAGTGTTAATAAGTAGTACAATCTCCTGTGAACGATGGTAAACAGCTTTTCCAATGGTCGGCCGGATAGAAATGGCAGCCGACTATAAAGGAGAACAGGAATGACGATGATTTAAATTCTATAAACTAATATACAGAACTCTTGTATCAGACTCAGCTGCTATGCAAGCGCTGAGTACTTCGGTATGTAATTTGTGCTCTTCAATCGCAAGGTTTAGTGAACAATGAATTTATACGGGTTAAGGAGAGTTGCTTTACAAGTCCAGTTGGATAGTTGGTGGGGATATCAACATAACAATAATGATGATAAGGATAGTAAAATAGTTAATACTTTAAAAATGAAAATAAGGACTTATCGTGTGCTCCGCTGTAGTCCCGCATCCTCTTAGATTCACAGCGCCCACAGTTAACAACATATAATTCCATGGGAAACTCCAGGTGTAAGATGGATACGTAGTGTTAAGTAAAAAGTGTAAGTGGATGAGTGCATCGTCCAACCGTCTTTTAAATACCGTTTGTGTTGATGCAGAGACGGCCGATTCTGGGAGAGCATTCCACGGGTGACAGACACGAATGGAAAAGAAATTTCTACGGCACTCCAGACGACTGTATTGTTCTGCGAGTTTTAGTGAGTGGCCCCTCAGATTTGTATTGCTGCTGAGTTGCAGTAAAAGGCGTCACACATGATGTGGGTCTTGAAGAATCAAGTATGCCATAATCAGGTCGCCTCATAGTCTGCGATAGCTTCCACTGAACAATCATAGTCGTCGCAGCCTCTCCTGGTAGGAAACATTACGCATTCCAATTACGTTCTTAGATGCCGAAAGTTGTGGCTGCTCCAGTGCATTAAGATCGTGTTTCAATCATGGATACCAGACTTAAATTGAGTTTTGGACATGGGGGCGAACATACGAACTGAGCATTTGTCGAAATAAGGAGCTATTTATTTGTCCAAACACGGGACCGTGCCGTCAGTCTTCACAACTACGCAGGAACCGCTCCGAACAGTCGATCGGTTTACTTAAGTAAACGTATCACCTGTTGATTGCATTGCCCACGAAATTACCACATGCACTGTTATAGCCCCGGTGGTTTTCCAAGATTTCAGCCACTAATGGGGATTGCGCGATATAAGATTTATTCATAAGGGACGAGTTTACAACGCTGCCATGTTACCCTGTAGTTCACCGATCATAGTTGACCACTGATACCTGCGCAGTGTTGCTCACATATTGCGAAAGAGTCGAGTAAGGCTGCTATTCGTAATAGAAGTGACGCGCCGGAATATCAGATATACTGGGCAGAGCTTTCCGACATATCGAAGATAGCGTCGGTATGTGATGGTATGATGGTTGCTGAGTGGACTACCCAAAATCCTGAGTTTCTGGCACAGGTTATAGAGCTAGAGCTTCTACTCAGATGCTCCTCCTCACCGTGACTCGCATTTCAGTGCATACCTTTGATAGCAGAGGTCTCAAATCTGACCGTTGCTGTTAACAACATTAGCAGCAGCATCAACAGCAGTACACCAGCCATTTGAAATGATTCTTCGCTGCCATACAAACATGAGGACCTATGAAATAAAGAATAAGGAGAGGGAGAGAAGGGGGACTTACTGAAAACCATAATGCCCTAAGCAAACATTCAGGGTCAAGGCGCCTATACCTTGTGTTGACAACATACCATCACAAACAGCTGGATATCGCGCAAAGATAAGGCGGCATCGGCGAGACAACTTCCTTGCGGTCTTCACTCTCACGCGTTATAATTAGTCATATCCCCGCAACTAACTCAGCACCAAACACGCTTAAACAGGCAATCCAATTAAGAGACAACAGCAAACGCGCCACTGGTGTCTACTGCGAGCCAAATTCTCTAATGCCTCAAAACAAGCACAAGGCGTGTCAAGTGGACTCCAGCACGAAAGGTGAGACGGACCAACGGCACCCAGTTTGGTCTTCAGTGAGTTCCTTTCCCACTGCCAAGTCAAATTCTGTCCTCCTGGAGCCTTGCGCCACCCTAAGCCTGACGGACAAAACAAGACCCTCCTGGGTAAGCGGTGATCAGGCGTAAGTAACACGTGCCCGAGCCAACGCAACTTCTTCAATGTTATTTGTTGTTCGAGGAAGCTAACATGATTATTAGTACTTGCTACTCGTCTACGCACCTCATTGTCGTGGACAAGCTGGTATCATCCGACACTAGCGGTGCTTCGTAGACAACGATGAGCAAAGACTTAAGGACGCCTTAAGTCTTCAGACCAATGGGACCAATTCGCAATACCCTAGAGCAGAGCGGCCCTTACTGTGGCAACGTATACACGGCCTTTCAGACGAAGGAAACTGCCTTCTGTCGACAAAGCTGCCGTTGGTTCAAGGAGGCAGCTCAGGCCTTTGCAATACGTGAGCCGACGTCAGTTTCTATACACCACCGTTGTTGAGGCAGTTACCAAGGTAAGTAAATAAATAAATAACTTGATAATTTATTTTCGTATAGGTCAAAGCACACGCATCTGGCATGATCACGGCTTCACAAGGGATGGTTTCGCAACAAGCACGTAGCTTTGCATAAAGTACGCTATTCGCACAAAATACAGAGGCTATCGGAATGCTGAATGTACTGATCAGTAACGGAATCTTTAATAACGTGACGGAATTCTGAGTTCAAGAATGTGTAACGGCGTAACATATAGAGCGGAGACGGATGGTAGCAACAGGGAAGCTTCCTTTTAGTGTACATATTCAAAGTATGCTGAAATGATATGCAAGGTCGCTCTGGTTAAGTTACCGGTGGGAGATTTTAGACGGTGGCTTTATTCGGTGGCTAGCGATATCCGCCACATTGCAGTGTTATTAAAGGGAGGTTTGTAGCTGTTCATAGGGAGAACGCTTTCCAGGCGCAAATCCACCACGCCCTGGAACGCCTCCGTCAATCCGTTGGAAGGGTACTGTATACTGGCAAGGTAGCTTTCTGACCGAAGGTACACTCCGCTATTTGCAGTCATGTAGGCCCAAATTCTGTTTGCTGGCTAACCGAATGGCCTAGACCAGGTCCGCCATTCATCGTTGAAACCGGTCAAGAGATGCAATGTACAAGGAAGTCGGGTGAGCGATTGCGCAGACATGTAAGGCTTCCGATTTAATGCCGTTTGGCTTTCGCTTTGTGGTATACTGGTCCAGGCATAAAGGCGTCGTGTCCAGGGGTCATAAATTGGCTAGTGGCCTTGTAGCAACATTTTGCACTTTGTGTGTGCAAAACGCACGCCAAATAATGGGCCCACTATAGGCAGAGTATTCAAGGTTGTTTACGCAGCAGCAACCAATTCGAAAAGCAAGACGATCTCCTCCGCATAATCAAGAACAACTATACTTGCACCAGTCAACGTCTGAACGCAAATGTAGTGAGGTTCCCCAAGGGAACATTCCATGCTAAAATCCACCACGAAATTGAACAAACACGCGGTAACCGGACAACCCTTAAGAACGCTACGTGTGGTCGGTAAGCTATCCGATAGGCCAGGGTAGACCCTGACGCGGTCTGTAGTGTTCGAGTATGGAGCACGGAGGATGTTCACCTATTTCGCAGAAAATCTTTCCACGTAAGTAGTTCGAACAGAATGCATCGATCAACTGGATCGAACGAACACTTGCATTCGAAGAACACA